ATTGCTTAAGGAAATCCTTAGGAGTGGTCTAGTGGTCAAACTTGTCATCTTGCAAACAAGCAGTCTTAAGTTTGATACTTCTCACGCCTTCGCCAACCATTTTTGTTCTTCAAGAAATATATCTTTAAACTAACTCAAGTTACGGTGGTCGACTTAGAGCTTGAGGAAGTAGTCAGCGCAAACTTGAATACCTTGTAGAAAAAAAAAGTATTGTTTAAGGCGATAAAGTGTAATTTATCCAAAACCTACATATTTAGTGTGTAAAATTGTTTAGGATATGTTTGTGATATGCGAGCACACACACACTCCTAATCTTGTTTTAGTCGACTTTTCGTATTTAGCTGAGACTTGATAAATTTCAATTGTCCTTAGAGTAATTTTATATTAAAATTGAATCTCAACTATTAATTATTTGATGAATTAATTTTAAATTGTATTCCAATTTTTTTTTTTTTTGCATCTAATTAATTTGACAAAAACTTAACTAATTGTCTCAATTGTATTAAAAATAAATACAACTAAAAATTTTATGATAATGATAATTTCGAGAGAGTTGTGAAGGTAAACCGTCGTTAGAACCCAGAAGACCTTTTGAGGGCAAGTTTATTTATTTATTTATTTATTTTTTGTTTTGTTATAGGGTATCCAAGTTTGTGCCAACTAGTCCCTTGAATTAAGGCTAGCCATCAAAGGTCATGTTTGTTGCTTTGTTATTGTTTTGCATCTTTCTCAAGAAAATTGCTATCTTATTCGAAACTTGAAGATCGATCCATATGAATAAGGGTGAGGTTATTTTTACCCTACAAATCTCCGTTCTCACCCTAGTAAACTATTAATCATAAAACTACTAAGTTTACCCTTTTTATACCTACCCCACTTGTTACTAAGTTCACCCTACTCTACACCCACCCCACTAGTTACTAAATTCACCTCATTCTACACCCACCCCATTAATAACAAAACTTATGTACATGTTCAACTTTAGGGTTTTTTTTATGTCCATCTCACACTATCTATACATAAAATATACTCAATTGGATTCCATCTGGATTTCTTTCATGCAAATTTGCTTCAATTGTCGCCGTTTGATCATTATTTTTTTCAATCTTATTGTCAGAATAATGCTTTGATTCCACTATGCGGTTCTCTTTCTTCCTCTCTTAATCGTCGGTTGAAGGAATTCGTAGAAAAAAAGATCTTCTTTACACGCAATTTTTCAATATATAGAAAGCAATCTCTTAAAATCTCCATTGAAGGTTTGAAACTAAGTTTCTTGAAAAGGAAAAGAAAAAGATCATCAAGCCTCCCTATAGACAGTGTGAGATGGAGTATAGAAAACAAAACCCTAAAAGTAAAGATTGGAATAAGTTTAGTTGTTAATGGAGTGAGTATAAAATGGGGTGTACTTACTTATTAGTGGGGTTGGTGTAGATGGAGTGAATTTAGTAGTTTTATGATTTATACTTTAATGGGATGAGAAGGGAGATTTGTGGAGTGAGAATAGCCCCACCCTATGAATGAATGTTTATGATGGCTAAAAGAGGAAAAAAAATATATGATTTTGAAAGAGTAAATCACAAAAAAATTGTGATTTTTGATAAGGTTCACAATATACCTAGAGATGGATAAGTATGAATAGAAGTTTATGATGGTCAAAACACAAAAAAGATATGATTCTAATTGGTTTGGAGATGCTCTAAGTTGGGATTGAAGTACGGAAGGTTGGCAGAGTCTTGCCTCTGTTTAGTAATATTTTTTTGAAAGAATTTTTTGTAAAACAAAAAAGTAAATATTACGAAGTTTTACTTTTTGCATAAAAAGCAAAAGTTTTAGGGTAAAGTTATTGGGACCTAAAAAACAAACATAATAATGTCGACGCAAGATAAAACTACGATTGCACCAGCGAGGCGTATGTGGTCTAACAAGGTACAAAATATCATTCGCGAACAGTTGCTTGAACAGGTTTTCTTAACAAATTTGGACATGATTATCCGATACCATTAGCGACGTTGTGGTTGTATAATAGAGATGGTCGTAGCAGCCGATGGATAAATAGTTTTCTTATTAAGGGGATTTTCATCCGTGTTAAACTCATTTTATTCCTCTAGTTGACAAATTTGGACATGCACTGATATGATCATTTATTTATCTGATTTGTGTTAATGTAATAAGATGTTTCACCTCTTATTTGCAAGTAACAATTAATGAAACATGCAATTTTTTTTTTTGTTATTAACGATCGATTATGACAAAATACAATAGCCCCTAAAAGATGTGGACAATAATCATTAATTTGCAAAGGTACCAGAACTGAATCAGAAATTTCAAAATTTACCATTTGACACTATGTGTAAAATCCTATCTTTCGTGTCCGTGTGATTTTACAAAAATCAATACACTTGGTACCATTCACTTCATGGTAATATTTCCCCATTACTGAAAATTTCATGTTGAATAATCATGCATTATGTTTATGCAAAATATATTTACTACATTCACTTCATGGTATAGTTCCTGATTTTACAAAATATGCCTATTTTGTATTGAATTCATTAAATTATGAAAAATTTATTTGTATAACAAAGGGTAATTTGATGTATTCAAACAAATTTAAAATTAGGATAATATAGTGATAGAAATTAAAATATAAATCACGCTTGTTGGCTGGTTAGGACAAATGTAACGGGGAAAGGATTGTGAGCATTTTAGTTTATTTACATAACAAAGGGTAATTTTAGTATTTTCACAAAATATTTAGTCAAATTATTATTTTATTAATTGGTAGAGATAAAAATTACTGTTAAGGGGGTGTCATTGATTTGAAAGAATAAACTAGAAGATGTGCACTGAAATTTCAGAATTGAGGTGGAGTGTTATTGAATTTAAAGCTAACTACAAGAGGTGTGGATTAGTCATATTGCTCATACGCTAACCCAAACACTTGAACAGTAAAAAAAAGAGAGTACAAGGTTTTATGGTAAGTTAAACCCTTGAGACTTTAAGTTATACTTCAAATTGTTATAATCGATCCTAAAATATTGTGATTAATTATAAAAAAATATAATTTTTATCATGTTAAAGGTATTAATGATTAGTGAAGGTACACCAACTAAATTATTCATTCTCATAAAGAATCCAAAATAAAAACTGTATACCATTCTGATGTTTGGCAACCAACTAGGAGTAAATGCTAGAATGGCATGCGCAAGCCATTCAAATGTTTGGAGAAAGTAATTTTTTACTAGAATAGAATGAAATTGGACAAAGATATAATTTGGTGACCGAGTAATGGATATTTCATTTTTAAGGCTTACTCCATAATACCAAACACATCGCAAGACTAATTTTTTGTCACTATTATCACATCGATATCGTTGTCATCATCATCGTGACGATATGTTTACCAAAATATTGTTATTTGTCAAATTAATGTGAGTCATTGGCTTAGTAAGTTTCATCTAAAAATTTTTTTATATGAGACCTACTGATGTAATAATTCACATTGATTTGATAAGTAAATTTAGTACACTTTTTGGGTAAGTAAATTAGTTATGATTGACAATCGAACTTATTGATCATACCCGATCAATCATAAATTACTCAAACCCGATAATTTAGTATTCATTAACACTTCAAAATGGAGTTAACTCGTGAAGTGTGGTTTCTTGTTATCGATCTTCGACAAACCAAAAATTGATTAAATCAACAACTAATGAACCTTAATTATTGGAATAATGTGAAACTTATCATATAATTTAAGATGTAATGAAAAAAATATAATAGTTGAAGAGAAATATAAAAAAAGTCAAAGTTGAGGGAGTTAAACTGTAATTTGCAATGTAACAAAATATTAATTTTTCACAAAAAGTATTTTTTTGGGTGAGCATCTTTTACAAAAAGTTATAAATAAAGGAAAGGCCAAACTTTATTTTACCCGGTGTAATGTACTTTGGATGCACATAACCCCCTAAAGTCTAAAAATAACACATAATCCCAAATAATTTGTGAATTAATATGCACCGTTATTGTTGGGATTTAATACGCTTTAAACCAATAGGCAACCACACACATTTGAAGAACAAACAAAGAATATAAAACAATAAGAAATAAGAAAGAATAAAACACATAAATTTTACGTGGTTCGACAATTTGCCTATGTCCACGAAGCGACAGGAATTTCATTATTGAGGGAAAGGAATACAGAGAACGACTATACAGTTACGATCAAACTCTAAACACCAAAGTAGCGATTTTTATATGTCTTACGCACTAGAGTACAAAATAGACCCAAAATTTTTTTCCTAGGGGCGTTGCCCCTGAACTCCCACGAGGCTTGTCCATAAGTGCTGCGGCTTGAGCCTATCGGCCTAAGCTTTCGTTCAATGGACTAAATCTCAAAAAATTTCTCATTAAAAATCACACAACATTATTTCGGGTCAAGTCATCATCCCGATCAACACACAAATTAGACTCCACAAAAAGGCTCAACAGTTATAGCCACGCTCAGCCACTTCCCAATCAACAACAAACAACAAATAACAATAGCCTGCGACAAACCAATTTTGGTAACCATCAATAATTGCGACCACCAATGACTACCCATCTCCTATTTTCATCAACAATTGCAACCACAAGCCATGACCAGCACCCATCCCTCTTACCTAGGGATGTCAATGTACTGAAGCGGGGGGCCGGGGTATAGTCTTCATCCTCGTACCCGCTTAAAAATTTTTTGTCCATCCTTGGTCCATCCCCGCTAATGGGTATAATTTTCATCCTCATCCCCGTCTACGAGTAAATTTATAATCTCCGTCTTCGCTTCTTTCGTACCCACCCAAGCCCAAGCCCAAGCCCAAGCCCAAACTCAGGCCCAAACCTAAGCCTAAACCCAATTTCTAAGAATTATTTTGATGATAGCATATAGCATTGCCATTGTCTACATCATATTGAAAACTACTACAAATTAAAATTTGAAAAACAAACTGTTGTGGTTCATTTACCTTCCAAAAATCAGAGCAGTCAGTGTAGTGGTTCCAGAGGAGATGTCAAGAGAACTATCATTTGCAAATGCACGATTAGCTTTGACAAAAGCAGTCTTAATTGCCTTCTCCAGACAAACAAGAAAATGGGAGTCCTCGACTATAAACTTGAGAATAGTCTTTCTAATAAATGATGCTGCATTAGAACCACCATGCCCATCAAACACCTGTTGCCATACTCAGGTGGCGGCGTTGATTGAGGAAGAGGAGTAAGTTAGGCCTTGGGCTTTAATTGAGAGTTTATTTATTTATTTTTATATATATATACATTTTTTTTAACAAGTAATGGGAACGGGGACGAGGCGGGGGTAAGGGTAAGTCCATCCTCACCTTCATCCCTGCACGGGTTTATACGAGTATTTTCGTATACGTCCATCGTTCAATACGTATAATCCATCCTCGGCCCAAATGAGACAAATTTGGACTAATATCCGTTTTTTTCCGGTCCACTGCCATGTTTACTTACCCAATGAGAACCAAGGAACCATATCTCAAATGGATATTACCAAATGTTTTGAAAATGGTGACATATTGGTGATAGCATTTTGTGTTTGAGTTAGAATAGGAATAGAGGTGTTAATCGAGCTGAATTTGAGTCTGAATCGAGTTGCATTTATACATAAATAAGGGCTCGTTTGACTATTTACACATAAACAAATTTTAAAAAATATTCAAGCTTTACTTGTTTAAGAGCCCTAAATATGAAGAAAGGAATGGAGATATGTAGTTTGGATCTTGGTGTAGAAGATATAATCACCGTTGATGAAGAATGAGGAAGGGTATTAAGGTTATTTTTATTTTCTGCTAACAGAGTTAATTGTTTATCTTTATCCACAGATCACAATGGATCATGTACTATTTTTAGACACTAGGGAGGTTATGTGTAATTAGGGTAAACTACGAGGGAGTAAAATAGAATTTATATATATATATATTTATCTCTGTGTGTGTATGTATATATATACTTTTAGCAGAGCTCAATTATTTGAGATATAAGGTTTAGTTTAGTTCGGTAACAATACTTTTACTTTCTTCATCGACAAGAAAAGACTAATCTCCTCTCTCGCAAAATCGTGAGGCCCAACTTTGAATTATTCGTTCAATTGAGGCATTGAACCCCAACCAGGGGCTCAGCGGTCGGATCCTCCGCTCCCCCTTCTATGGCGCCGCCTTGACTTACCAACAAACGATGAAGCTGAACAGAGGCGGTGGCGGCGCATATTGATTTTTCTGTTTTGGTAATAGCCATTTTGATCTGGTTCGTTCGTCGTCTTCGCCGACAAACCGTAGAAAATGCTTGCAAGAACAATCATACTCCTCCCGCGCAAGTTGGTCCTAACCAATTCCTGTGAAAACCCATCATCGTCATGTCTAGGTCCGTAGCGATCCTTTCTATCTTGTTTATGTTCTTGCCTTTTATTTTCTTCTTTTCTGGGTCTTGATTATCTGGTTTTTTTCCTCTCCTTATAATGTGTACTGGGTTTAAGAGTATGAGCCACAAGTTATTAGGGTAACGTTTTTGGGACTGCAATTGCATCTTGATTCATGGGTTTGGTCGAATTTCGCAACGTTGAGTATTCTATATTTTATAGCTTTTGCAAGTAATTTTTCGTTAAACGAAAGTAAAATATTCCTTTTTTTGGGCAATTTCTTCTAGAATCAGACCCAAATTTACCTTGAAATAAGTCCTGAAATTTTCAAAGGTGGTTACGATTTAGTGAGACATATGGTCATCGGAGTCTAAACGAGAAGGGGGGGAACTATTATCTGGATATTTTTTGGGCGGTTTGTCTAGCAAGAGTTGGATTAGAGCTATGGGAAGCTGACTTCATTGTATGTTTGTTGAACTCAAAAGAAGCTATGTGGCAAAGTGTATAGTTGGGTCAGGAATACGTACAATACACCCTCTTAAACATGTAGTGTTAGTTTATGTGGTTGTTCTGCTATATACATTTTTGAATGAGAAGGAGTTTATCATCTTGAGGATAAGCTATTCAATACAATGGCAATATCACATCATCATTGTGATATTATTAATTAGGATTCACAACATAGGCCTAATGAACCCCACTTAATCTACTGTGGTAATTATTACTTGTTGGTTCTACTTGGATCTGGTGGTTTTTGGGGATTTTTTTTGGATGGGAAACAGGATTGTATTATAATGGTGGTTCTTGGTAGTAACTGGATAACTGGGTTTCACTAGGTCTATGTGGTATTTCTAATGGGTTGTTGGTATCAGATGACAATGATGAGATGATGTTACCATTATATTAGGTATTTACTCCATTGTGAGGGAACCACATTGCTGTAGTGTTTTGATATTGTGAGTATTCAGTGCAATGAATTTGTTTATACCGTTCAAATTAAGGCAGAGTACCAATGCCACAAACAATGTTATTGGTGGTGATTGATGACATTGTTTGAAATGCAGATTTTTGACACTTGGAAACATTAGGAGAGTTGCGCAATCCATTTACACAAACCAAAGGAGCACTTATTTAGATGGAAGGAAATATGGGCCAGTGGTTACAGGTGGGCTATACTCCTCTCAATACAGGTTATACTCGCAACATATGCTCCCAAGTAGGAGATATGCTTCATTCATGGTGTGCAAAGTCAAGGATGTATTTCGTGATAGCACTTTTCCCAAGAAATTTTCTGGCCTCCCAACGAGTAACACTACAGCATATCAAGCCCAAGTTGCTTGGAAGAGGCTTTCCCAGAGGCCTTCTCACAATGGTCGAACTTTTTCCCCCATTGATAGGATTGCCCAAGCAGTTAGCTTGGCAGTGAGCCGCTCTTATGTGGTTGTTCCTGGTGTAGTTGCCTTGACGTGTGGAAATGTAGCATTGGCACAAAGATCAGCTAATACAGATCCCATACATCCACCAAATGCTTTGTATCTGCGTGCAGAAGAAAGGCATGCTTTTTTTATCACATTAATTCTTTCAGTACTGGAAGGTGTAATCTTGTTGCTGAGAGCTCTTTATTTAGGTGTTTTATTCTCACCTAGCATAGCAATGGCTCCATTTGCTGATTGTCTTGGACCTCAGTTTCGAAAAATGTGGCTTCAGGTTGTTCATCAGACATTGGAAAGAGCAGGTCCAGCATTTATAAAATGGGGCCAGTGGGCAGCTACACGGCCGGATCTCTTTCCTCGAGATTTATGTACCGAGCTTTCAAAGCTTCACACCCAAGCTCCTGAACACAGCTTTTCCTATACAAAAAAGACCATTGAAAGAGCATTTGGTCGTAAGCTTTCTGAAATTTTTGAAGATTTTGAAGAGGCACCAGTAGCATCTGGAAGTATTGCCCAAGTACATCGAGCTTCTTTGAGGTACCAATACTGTGATAGAGAGATCAAGCCTATGTTAGTTGCCGTAAAGGTTAGGCATCCTGGAGTTGGTGAATCAATAAGAAGAGATTTTGAGATAGTTGATCTAATAGCAAAGATCTCAAGATCCATACCTACTCTGAAGTGGTTGAGATTGGACGAAAGTGTCCTGCAGTTTGCGGTTTTTATGATGTCTCAGGTTGATCTTGCAAGGGAAGCTGCCCATTTGAGCCGTTTCATTTATAATTTTCGCAGTTGGAGGGATGTTTCATTTCCAAAGCCTGTATATCCACTTGTACATCCTGCTGTCTTGGTGGAAACTTTTGAGCAAGGGGAATGTGTCTCACGCTATCTTGAGGAGCTTGAGGGTCATGAGAAAATTAAAAGTGCACTTGCCCACATTGGGACTCATGCACTTCTGAAGATGCTTCTGGTAATATATCTATTTTTAAATTTGTATTTGCTTACTTCTTTTTATGACTTCTATCAATTGGTGCTTGCATGTTGCATATGCTAGCTTATGACACAATCATGGTTCAAGTCCGTGTTATTGGCTATTGACTCGGATGGTATTGAGATGCATCTGACGCTATATAACGGAACAACATCAGATGATAACAGAATATTGCATAAAAAAGTATTAGAACATGAAAAGAGATTTATCGTGGTGTCGTGAAATTGTATCGGCTAATTCGGTTACGATGAACAACCGGAGACTGACTCAGAGACGCAGTTGAGCTGCCTAAGACTTGTGGTTTACAAAGAACACAGAATGGTATCAAATCGGAACATGCCGATCTGAAAGCAGCTGAGTCATATTGCTACCGGCCAATATTTGAACCATGGCTGCAATGGCATTGGGCCTCTTATCAATGCCAGAATGGTACTGCTATTGCTTTAAAAGATAAGGGTAATGATGTTAGATACTTCATTGACTAACAGTTGTATTTTTATGGGCTGCTTGGGATGTGTCAAATAAGATGTTTTTACCAATTAAACGCCTAAATTCAGAAGCTCTGCCAAAGGTAGGAACATTTTTTGTCATTTTTCATTCATCTGTTCATCTGAGATGTGAATTTAACATGGTATTGCTAAACTGCGTTTTCAACGATGTGTTTATACCCTGTTGACTTTTCATCATCTTGATATCCATGGTTCTTGAGTTATTTGTTACTGCTCTGTCTTCCACTTGTAAATAATAACGAATAGGTCTTGGAAAAATCAAGAAGAAATAGTTTTGGCATCTGACATGTGATTTGTCTACTTCAGGTGGACAACTTTATTCATGCTGACATGCATCCTGGAAACATCCTTGTCCGTGTATCTCAGAACAAATCTTCACGGAAACGGCTCTTCAAATCAAAGCCTCATATTGTTTTCCTTGACGTAGGCATGACTGCTGAACTTTCCAAGAATGATCGAGTAAATTTACTGGATTTTTTTAAGGCTGTTACTCGTCGAGACGGCCATACTGCAGCAGAATGCACGCTGAAATTATCAAAGCAACAGAACTGCCCTAATCCAGAGGCTTTCATTAAGGTAACATGATAGCCACTTAATTATTTGGGTATGGATACTCAGATGATGTTGTTTAGTCCCTCTTTTGGTATGGACTGTTGTGAGGTTTTGTGTTAACTTGGTTACCATCAAGAAGATCACTTACTTTGGGTTTGTCAGTTAGGGATTAAAGGGTTTGGTCTCTTGATTCTTCTACAAATGTCTCGTGGTTCCTATTTTCAACATTTGATTGATGATTCTAATTATTCATTCTTTGAACCTCAATGAATAATTTTTCAATTATTTCTGTAATCTTTATGATAGGGAAACTTTGGAGTTGGCTACCCTTCTTTCTTTGCTTAATTCGGTCTCTTTGCATTTGTCGGTTGGGGATTAAAGGGTTTGGTCTCTTGATTATTCTAGAAATTTCTTTTGTGGTCCCTATTTTCAAAATTTGATTGATGATTGAACCTCGATGATTGGATGGCTAGAGTGGCTATTAAGGTGCGGGTGCTTGTTTGGATAATTACTCATGGTAAGATGAATACTTATGATTTGTTTCAAACGAGAATATCTAACATTTATGCTCTCTCCGAATTTGTGTGTTTTGGGTAAGGAAAGTATCACTTGTTCCTTCATTGTCTTATTGCTAATTTCTTGTTAGCATAAGCTTTTGTGGGAGGCACATTTGATGTTGGTAACACCTTGTGATCATGTGTCCCTACTTGTGGTAAAGTTTTGGTTGATTTTGGGAGTGCGAAAAAGCGTCCATGTTGTCGAGATGTGTATTTTTTGGCCATTTCTTGGGTGGTCAGATGGAGACTGAATTGTAGAATTTTTGAAGGGAAGGAGGAGGAGGAAGGCCTCAATTGTATTATTATTTATCAAAGAACTATGAAGTTGTGGCGGTTTAGCTGCATAGGATGCAAAGTTCCTGTTTAAAATAAACAGGTATATATAGTCGTTAATTTTTGACTTCCAATATTCTTATGCTTAGTTAAGCTATTCTGGCATTTTGTATCTTAAAAATTTGTGATTCTTTTGAGGCTATATATTTGCTTGCTCGGAGGTGTACATAGTGGTGGTTGCAGTTTTTTTGTACCGTTCATGTGTGCTCCAGGACATTGCATCCTGGGCACGGGACATTTTTATAGCTCACTGTATTTGCCATAGAATATGTACTGTTAATGATTTTTTCTTGTTTAGTTTGTAATCACCTTGCTTTGACAGGAGGTGAAAGAGTCGTTCGATTTTTGGGGTACTCCAGAAGGTGATTTGGTCCATCCTGCTGATTGCATGCACCATTTACTAGAGCAAGTTCGGCGTCATAAAGTCAACATTGATGGCAATGTCTGCACTGTGATGGTTACGACTATGGTTGTTGAGGTAGTTTCTTAATCTCTTCTTTCAGCTATGCCAGCTGAAGTATGATACACCCATATCATGGAGTCATAGACTGACTGAGAAGAATATTTGTGACACGTCTTACTGTCCCTCCCTCGTGGCCAACACCAGTGTCCACTAATGTTGAGTATTTAGTGGAATAACTATAACTTGTCCTCTGTATATTCCTGAGTTATTTCACCTGGATCCTTCTTTTCACCCTTCCTTATACTTGCTGACACGGCATGGCATGGACATGTTTATATGTAGACAACAGCCGAAGAAAATGGTGGAAAATTAGTTGAATGCATGCAAATTCTACAAATGCACATGCACCAAACTGTACAAGTCTCTGACAATTCCTTGTCCTTTTTTGTCCCTTCTTTTTTGTCATTTTTTGAAGAAGTTTTAAAAATTATTAACAATAAGCTCCAGATGTTTGTGTTTTTATTTCTTTTCTGCTTCTGCTGTGTGGTGTTTGTGTTTTTGTTATTTTCTGTATTTGGGTTTTGGAAGAGAGAGGTGGGGGGGGGGGGGGGGG